GTTTGTCCAGGAGGGGCCAGAGTCCTTCTATTCCCATCTCTCCTTCAGTTTGGGAGCTGGAGGGGAAAGGCTCCCAGCAGTAACACCTCAGGCCTGTCCAGTAGCTGTTCTCACTCAGCCCTGGCAGGCTACAAACGCCCATCCCGTCCTCATGTGCAAATGGGCTGATGGAGCAGCAACTGCTTCACTCTTGCTCCCTCATCACTCTTTTCCAGCCAAGATGTTCTTTGGGAGCTGCATTTCTGCCAAAGGCTCATCCACCCGCTCTGACAGCAGGGGAGGGGGCCAGTCCCTTCTGCTTTACCCATTTTCATGTCTTCATTAAAGAAAAAGCTTCCTGGGAGATTCAACACTCCCAAAGGTCTCCATGGCTGGTGAATGACTGGTTAGGTTTGTGTCAGCTCCTGGAGAGCAGCACCATGATCAGTAGCCACGGCACTGCTATGGGCAGTCCAGGCTGGCTCTGCACACGCACAGCTCCTGAGGATCTGCACAGGTTTTAACCCAGCTTTCCAGATTCGTTCACTGATAAATGGTGGCAGGTACAGCCCAAGGGATAACTCAGATCTGCCCCCAAAAGGCTGACCTTGATGCAGGGGCCATGGCCCCAAAGCCTTGGTGGCTCAGAAGACCTCCCAAAAAAGAGGCTGGTAGGAGGAGTGTGGTTGAAGAGCCACCATCCTCACCCCCCCGAGCCCCCCTCCCCACCTCTGCACCCCTCAACAAGCCACGGTGTGCATGTCCTGGCTCTCAGTCTCACGGCTGTTCGAGGAGGTGGCTTGTGGGTTTCTTCCCTTCCCATTGAAGCAGAGCCAGGGCTAAAGTGCTCCCCTTCCTCATTTCTGTGATCACACTGACCCTGCTGCTCTGTTTGTCCCCCACAGCAGCTGGGTGTAAATCAGGTGAGTTATGCTGATGGTCTTTTGCCCTGTAAGTTGCTGGGACAGATCCTTTCCACCTGCACTGCCTCTTGCTCTGCTGTTTGAGCTGAGCAGCTGCTGTTGGCTGGGCATGAGGGACATGGGCATGTCCTGCTGGGGACTGTGTTCCTCACAGACACCAGTGTTGGGACTGGTGCTGTTTAATATCTTGGTCGGTGACAGGGGCAGTGGGATCGAAGCACCCTCAGCAAGTCTGCAGATGGCATCAAGCTGTCTGGTCAAGAAGTTGGAGGGAAGGGTTCCATCCAGAGGGACCTTCACAGGCTTGAGAGGTGGGCCCAAGTCCTGCACATGGGTCAGGGCACTCACAAGAACAAACACAAGGTGGGTGAAGCACGGGTTGACAGCAGTCCTGAGGAGAGGACTTGGGGGTGCTGGCTGATGAAAAGCTCAGCATGAGCCAACAGTGTGTGAGTGCAGCCCAGAAAGCCCCAAATGTACCTCTACCCTGGTCTGGTGAAACCCCCTCTGGAGTACTGTGTCCAGCTCTGGAGCCCTCAACACAGGGGGACATGGACCTGTTGGAGAGGGCCCAGAGGAGGGCCATGAAGATAATCAAATGTCTGGAGCACTTCTCCTACAAGGACAGACTGAGAGAGTTGTTTTTTTTCAAGCTGGTGAAGAGAAGGCTCTGGGGAGACCTTCTTGTGGCCTTCCAGTGCCTGAGGGGAGCCTACAAGAAAATGGGGGATGGACTTTCTACAGGGTCCTGTAGGGTTACTGTATGGCAATTAGATGAAATCCCAGAATAACACTTTTTTGCCACTCTTCAGCATGAAAATGTAATTTAAAAAGGGCTTGTAGCAATAGGACAAGGGGTAATGTCTTCAAACTAGGAGAGAGGAGATTTAGATTATATGTAAGGAAGAAGTTCTTCACTGTGAGGGTGGTGAGACCCTGGCCAGGCTGCCCAGGGAAGCTGTGGATGCTCCATCCCTGGCGGTGTTCCAGGCCAGGCTGGATGGGGCTTGGAGCAACCTGCTCTAGTGGGAGGTGTCCCTGCCCATGGCAGGGGGGTGGAACTGGGTGATCTTTAAGGTCATCTCCAAACCAGACCATTCTATGATTCTATGTTTCTATAATGTCTAAAGGAGGAAAGAGCAGCATATCCAAGGCTGGCTGTGGATGACAGGGGATGAGGGAACCAAAATCCTTCAGAGACTTTGCACTGGAGGGGAAAAGCAAGTGGGCAGCAGGGCTGTGCTGCCCTGGGGGTGAGACCCCAAGGGTGACTGTGGCAGCAGATGCCTCAGGACTAGAAGATGTGAATTTTAGGCGCCAGCAGACCTCAGGACCCCATCAGCAGCTGTGGCCACTCATCCTCAAATTCAGTTTCTGATCAGTAAGACCTTGCAGCACCCATGCCCAGCCTCAGGTGGAGAAGGGGTCCTGTGCCTCTGAAGATAAATCATGGGGATGCACGAGGCACAGATGCAAGAGACAAACGTCTCGTGCCATGCAGGGCTGTGACACATCTAATGCCAGGCTGGCTGGGACCCTTAGCCTGGTCCTGAACCTGGTGTCCCTGGGCTGAAAACTGGCCTCCTCAAGCCCAGGGGAAGTGCCCCTCCCATCATTGTGGTAAACACCAGGACAACACAAGATGAAGAGTGTGGATCCTGCCAGGGTAAGTGCAAGGAGCCAGAGAACCCAACCGTCACCCTCCTGCCCCAAAAAAGGGCATCCAAGGTGATGGCTGACAGTAAAGGGGGCAAGAGGCAGAGAAGTTCCCCAGGATCCTGTGAACCCTCCCCCAGGTCCCACCTCAGGCTGTCCTTCCAGCTCTGTGGCACAGCCTTCCATCCCCTCTGAAGGGCTGGGAACAGCTCTGGCCACGCTCTGGTTTCCTGAGCTGTCTTCCATCACTCTGGCAGGTCCTTAGAAAAATGAACGTTAAAGAGGAGGGGGAGAAACCACCACTGTTCAAACATCTTTAGCGTTGACAAATAAGGCGTCCGGCTGTGAAAGGCGGAAGGAAATTAATTCGGAATCACATTTTAAACACCGCTATAGAGGCAAAGTATCTTCTCTCTAATTTTTTTCCCCCCAAGCCAAAAATGAATTTTCCTGATATTTATAGAAAGATTATTAGGGCCACAAGGAGTGATTTATATCATCTCATCCCTGTGACGGAGAATGAAAAATTGCTGGGGCGACAGCCACTGGAATCCTGCTTTTGTCCTCCTGACAATTAAACCGGCTAATTTCCAACCCCGACAGATCCACGGGGGTTATAAATCATCCCAAGAAGGCACTTTTCACCCTGAAAAATGAACTGTGCCCCAATCAAGCACAAGCTTAGATCAGAGATTTGCATCTGTTTGCTTTCTTGTGTAAATACATGTACTCCTGCTCCACGCCAACCCGCCGAAGGCGATGCTAGGAAGTGGATGCTGCCCCGGATTGCTGGGTGCTCCCTGCTAGGAGCTGGATAAAGGGGATAGGGAAGGCAGAAGGGTGAGATGACACCGAGGTCAGAGAAAGTCCAGTGACACTTCTCTCCTCTTCCTGATGCCACAAGCCCTGGGGAGCTTGGCCAGAGAGTATTGCTGGTTGAGCAGCATGGGGCTGAGCCTATTTGCATGCAGGAGGATCAGCATCTGAGGAGGCAGGCTGGACCTTCCTCCTGTGCCGTGCCTATGGGTAGGGACAATGACACCAGAAATGGGCAGGAGGGCAGAGAAGGAGATGTGCCCTGACTTTGCTCTCAAGAGAGAGACAGATGTGCCTGAGGACACAGAAGAATGCGCACAACACTGATGCCAGGGGGCTTCCCTCAGCCTCCAGGCTTTGGGGTGGTGATCTCCTGAGATAGATCCTCCTGTGCAGGACTAGAGGAGAGGGAATACAGGGAACGGATGTTTGGGCCTCCTGAACCAAATCTCCAACTTGCAGCTCCTTGCAGTCTCCATTCTGGGAGGCAGCCGTGCAGGCAGCCCACGCCAGCGCCTGTGGTAACACCTGCCTGGCCCCACGCACACCACACCCACTGCTTACTGCAAGAGAAGAAGAATTTTTCTGATTTATCTGATTTATCCCAGCATGACTTTCAAATCAGGGGTCGCAGGCCAGAGTTTGTCCTGCCCGTCCTTCCCGTCCTGTGCGTGTGGGACCCGCCGGAGCCGGCGCAGGTCCCAGTGGCCCCTGGATCCCTCCCAGTCTGGCGCCGGACGTCCTAACCTTGCGTCAAGTCTCCCTGAGACAAACGCTCCACTCGACATTTCCACGAAACTCAAACAAAAGCCCTGCACTCTTATTTGTGCTGCTCCCCTGAACACCTCCCGTAAAGAAAGCGAGAGCAAACAAATGTGTGTGGAGGGCTCTCCCGGGGAGCCGCGCTCTGTACACACACATCCCCCTGCCTGCCACGCCGCTGCTGCTGGTCACCCCACTTCCTTATCACAGTTTGTACAGTCGGCAGCTTGAAGTCTGCCCAGCAGCACGGAAGACCCCCAGGGAGGCTCTCTGCACCCCTGGAAGGCAGGGCTCTTCGGCAGCCCTGGGGAGGGGTGATGGATGGATGCAATAACCTTGTTTCCTAAAAGCTCAGTGTTTTGCTTTTTGCTTTCCTTGCTTTCAAACCCCTTTCCGAAGCGAAGCGAGTGGTGGGACATTTTGGAGCAGCCAAGCTGTGCTTTGCTGGAGTGCAGCAGCAGAGATCTGAGCACCAACCAGAGCTGCTGGAAGCACCAGGCTGGGATCTCTGGGCCACACATTCCATGACAGGGAAAGACGGAGCCAGGGCAACCCCTGTTCTGACACCAGTCCCTATGGCAAAGCTAGTCCCCACCCCAAAGCCATGCCCTGAGCACCAGGACCTGCCACGGTCGGCCTCACAGGAGCTCCCAAGGAGCTTACTGATGGTACCAGCAACACATTTTGGAAGCATGAAGCAGAAAAGGCTTGGGATTTTGCCTCCACTCGGAGGCTGCCTGTCCAAGTTTTTGTGATCAGGCTTCTGCCCTCAGCCCTTCCCCAGAGAGGCAAGAGCCCCTTGAAGCCATGCAAGGGGCATGCAGGCACCCCTTGTAGGCGCTGCTAGCAAGGGTAGGGACTCACCGATGCAGGAATCCCGCTGCTCTTCATAGCCAGCACTGCACACACACTTCCCGATGGGCACCAGCCACTCTCCCTCGGCACTGCAGTACATTTTGGGGGTGTCTCTCTCCTCTGAATGCCCCACGCACTCTCCTCGCACTTCCACCAAGGAGGACGAGTCCGCCCCGGTCACGGCCTCGGAGAAGGACGCCAGGTTCCTCACCATGGCCGGGCACTTCTTGTAGTACACCCGCACCGACACGATGGCGATGCAAGCGCCTATGTCCTGGAAGGCCAGGTAGAAGCCCCTCTTGCTCAGCGGCCCCACGCCCCGCACCTCCGTGTTCAGCTTCAGGCGCCTCACCCCCAGGTCCACGTTGGTGAAGCTCTCGTCGGCTGCGATCGTGTCGATCTTCATAAACTGGCTCTCCCGGGTGCTAGTGCCCAGGTCTCGGTCAGACTCCAGGTAGTAGAGGTTGAAAGTCTCCTTGCAGGTGCCCAGCACCCCTGGCATGCTGTTGCAGTCCCGCAGGGTGAATTTGATCTCTGCGTAGACCCGCCGCGCGCCGTCCCGCTGAACCCAGTTGGTCCGTAGCCAGTTGTTCTGATTGGGGGTCATGACATTACAGACCTGGTAGGTGTGGATGGGGCTGAAAAACTCATCCATTTCATTGATGGAATCCCACTGCGGGACAGAGAGAGAACAGGTCATTCCAGGTGTCCTCGAACACCGGGCAAGCACGGGGCATGCAGGAGTCTGGGCCACCATCCACCCCAAGGTGAACTCCCTCTGCTCCTGCGGCTGTGTCTGGATGAGACGTCACTGCCACCACAGGCCAAGGGAAATGAGGATGGGCAGACTTTACCCAGCACTAATTTGGGCAGCAACTCTGACAGCCCACCCTGATGCAGAGCTGAGTGAAGTGCACCCTTGTTCACAGGCAGGAACGCTTGCATGAGTCTGATCTGATGGCAGGAACTGATGGCAGTGTGCGTTTGGGAGGTCTCCAAACCCTCCTGACCATGTCTGCAAGTCCATTTTCTTGGTGCCCAACCTGCCATTCACAGCAGCAGAAGGAAAGCACCCGCATGGTGCTCACTTGAGTCTCTTCTGGCTCATGCAATCTCCATGCACAGAAGAAACAGGATGTTTTCCAGCTGGAGAATGATTTTTGGGATGCATACCACAGGATGAAGGGGAAGCATGCAGTGAACACAGGACTTCCAGCAAGAAATGGAGGTCCACAGGGTCTCAGAGCCCCCTTCTTCCCAGGCAAGGTGAGGTCATGGATCCAGTTCCTCGCTGTGCCACAATGCTCAGCCCAGCTGGGAGGCTGGACTAGGGGCTGGCTCTGGAACCCCGGGGTCAGAATTCAGTGTAGCAGTGACAGCACAGTGAGCTTGGGGAAGAGATGCTGGGCAAAAACAGGCTGTAGCAAGCAGGACTGCAATGAAAAGGTGATTGGGTGAGTTTAGAGGGACAGGAACAATCATGTCATCCAAGGGAGGGGTGATAACCGGTTTTGATTGATGAGAAGTGAGAGGAACTAATGAGATTTTGGATTCAAATGAGCTCCATAGCTGAGAGACAAGTTGAAATTAGTCGTTGGGGGCTACAGAACACTTCTGTGGGCTTCCCCTTGTTTCACGTCACTCTTCCCACCCTCTCCAACCCCACCAAACCTTCACCAGGACCCACAGACCTTCCTTTCTCTGGGAGCTTCCCACCACCTCTTCAGCTCACATCCCTGTGCAAACCAGGCATCCCAATCACGTCCCCCGTGGATGGGTCTGGGACCCCTGAGTTCTTACGGGAGGAGGATGAGAAAGAGGAGCAGAAGAGGACTTCAAACCTTCTGGCTTTTCCCTGGACTTAGCAATAAACTTTGAAGACGTCCGAGTCCCACCAGCATGACCCAGTCCAGCTGCGAGGGACAGCCCCAGACACAGCCCTGCAGAACCTGGGGAAGGTACCCACACCCCTGCAGCCCTTGCTGCTCTGGCCACCAAACCATCACCTCAGAGAGCCTCAGCAGGCCCTGCCTGAGCCTCCCCCAGGCTGCCAGCTCTGCCTGCACCGCCCAAGGCCGATGAGAGGGAGCAGCCCCCCACTTCAGCACTGTGCACGCCCCATCTGCCCCTGTGCTGGCCAGGGGGGCTGAGACAGCCATGCAGAACTCCAGCAGTGGTGCACAGAGTAGGAAAACAGATCTTTAAAGCAGTTTTGCAAGTATGTTAAAATAACCCCCCAGGCTTGCTCTGGTGGAATGAAAATGGTGTTTTCTTGTGAGAGTGGGGACCTGTGTTTCATTACAGGCACAAAACCAACAGCAGCCCAGAAAGAAGGATCCTGATGCTCATTTCCGAGGGGGTGACCCTGAAGACTCCATCCCAGTGATGGTGGGAGCTAACAAGGGTGCAGATCTGCTGGGATGGGCACCCGAGTGCATTGTTATGTGGCCACCAGCACTGCAGGGACAGGTCACAGCTGGGGAGGGCATCACACCAGAGCATAAAAGAGATTGGAAAAAGGTTATCAGTGATGCCTGTAAGACAGCCTGCTCCCTGCTCAGATGAAAAAGTCCTTCCTCATTTAAACTCATTGACCTGCAGCTCCTAGTGAGGTGTTGCTGTGCCTTCTGCTAGTACCAGGGTGATCAGAGCAGTCATTTTGGTGATGTACATCTTCAAAACTCCCCCAGCATCTTTTATTTAGGAGAAAACTCTGCTTCTGACTCCTTAAGAGCTTAAAACAGCCTGGAAAAGGCAGCAGCTCCAGGCACAAACTTCAGCAAAAGCTCATTCAGCGGGGAATCTGCTGGCAAAGGTTGTGAAAGTCAAGCCACTGCCAGGAGAGAAGAGTATTTCTGGTTCTTTTAAAAGTGAATTCCTGGGCATTTATGAATTCCAGGAAAGCCCAGGTTTGTCCTAGGTCCTAGAACCACCGAGGATCTGCCTCCTAGTACTCAGGCTGACAACGTGGAGAGGGGTCAGGCTACCTGTGTGCTCTGCTGGAGGGGTGAGTGGCAGCACCCCTCTCGCTATGCCTCAGCTTTCCCACCCACGGAGACGAGCCCCTGGAAAGTGCTGTGACACCCCAAAATACACTTTGCAGCTTGGCCAGGGGGTGCAGAGGTGCCCCGAAGCCTGTGCAGCAGGCAGGGCACAGCTCATTTTGCCCACTCCTGCCAGCCAGCTGCCCGCTCCCGCATGGCCCGGCGGGGGGCGTGGGACTCCTCCTCGGAATTAATCGAGCGCCAATTAACAGGACAGCTGTTTCCTGTCTTTTCCTTGCTGAGTTCCCCAGGGGGAAGCGAGGCAGAGCTGCACGCAGGAGGAGACACAAGGACGAGAGCTAGAGCTGAAGGTGGTGAGCAGAGACGTGCCCCACAACACACAGCCAGCTCCCCTCTGCAACGTCTGTGGGGCTCGGGACTCTCCAGGAGGGAAAGAAGAGGTTATTGTGTGCACCAAAATGCCTTGGCCTCCAGCTGGTGTTGTTGCTTGCGTCTCCAGACTTCCATTTATCTCCTAAATACGGCAGAGGAGATGGTGCTCATGACAGCAGTGTCCCCACAGCCCTGTGGCACTGCCAGAGCTGGCAGTGTCCTCACCGCTGGCAGGGAGCTGAACGCTCATCTCTAAGCACCAGCCACGGTTGGCATCAAGCACAGGGGAGAACCTGGAGGGTTTGTGTTTGCAGCAAACAGCTCTTTCAAAACTGGTGCTTTCTGCAGCGTGGCTGGTCTGTCAGCTCTTCCCCAGGACTGTACCCAGCATCTGGGGATCCTGGCCTGGGACTGGCCCAGAACACCACCCGTCCCACTGGCCTGCAGGGCAAGGGCTCTGCCATCAGGAGAAACACACGGAGGGAGGGCACAGCACCTGAACTGGTGGCTCAGATGCCACCGGTGCATCTTCCTGATGTGCCACAAGACAAGACTGGTTCCACGAGCTCTGCCAGCTCCCCGGACCTGATGGGCAGCTGAGATGGAGGGACCCACTTCAGGACTGCCCATCACTCGAAGGCTTTTTCTGCTTCGCCTGAAGTCCAGGCTCTTGGGGCCAGGGAGGGGATCACTGCCGCTGGGTGCTGTGTCCAGAGCACAAGCACTGTGCACACACCCAGCCTCCCCGTGCCGCCTGCTCCTGCCTGACAGGCTGAAGTGGCTTTTGTGAAATGAAGCTCAGCCCGGCCCCACCGCTGCGATAAGATCCCCTGGCGAGGAGGAAATGAGGACATCATCATTAACGTGGTGCAGGCGCTGGGGGAGGGCTGCATCTGCATTCAGGGCCTTGCCTAAGAGTTTAAATTAAAGTCGACACCAGCTATGAAAAAAAATCTGCCAGGTTATGATAGGTGAAAGATGCAAACACCAGATATCTGGGCAGCTGAGCAAGGTCTTAGAAGTCTCCCAGGACCTGCGTGGCACCGTGGAGTGGGGAGGAGGAGGAGGAGGAGGAGCAGAGGGGGCAAACACACAAGGAGAGATCGCACCCTCCTTGGGGCAGCAGCTTGGCGTCCCACCACCCTGGCTGTGCCCACAGAGGGAGCCAAGGGATGTCTCCCCAGCCTTGGGATGGCTTCCAGGAGGGATGCCAGATCCGCCTGGAGGAGCAAAGCTTTTGCTGCTGCTGAGACATCCAGCACTTCCCTTCCTCCCCAGAGCAAGCACTGAGCTCAGCACCTTCCCAGGAGCTGCCAGGTCCCTCACACCACTGTCACTGAGAGAGAGAAAAAGAGAGAAGGACATTATTGCAGCTATAAATCATTAGATGTGAGGCATTAATGGAGATAATCCCCATGAAATCAGTCACTGCTGTGGGTAAGGAGGGATTTGTCAGGCAGTTAACTACCCTGAGCTTCACTGCAGGTGATTAACTCCTGGTAGTGACCAGCGTTGGGGGAATTAGCAATAACCCAGCATTTACTGAACAAGCACTGGGAGATGAGCCTTTATCTCAATTACTAGACTAAATCTTTATTTTCCAATCTTCCATTCCTACCCAACTTTTTTTTTAAAAAAAAAAAAAAGTCATTTTCTCCACATCTTGCCCTGTAAGCAGCTGGTATTCCTAGATCCAGGCAGAGGCTCTCAGTTTGAAGAGAAACCTAAACAATGGCACAAGGACATCAAAGTGACGTAGGACAGAGGACGTGTCCTGGGCAGAAGTGAGGTCCTCAATATATTTTGTTGCCCTGAGGGGAAAGACATGACTCTGAAGGGGTTTGAAGTGGCAAGCACACAGCACAGCTTGCACTGGGGACACGGTTTCTGCAAGCTAGGCTCAGGGCAAAGGGACACTCTGCTCTGTAATAAAGTGTCACATGGGGTTCAGCCAAGCCATGAACTGGTGGTTGGTTGCAGGACCAGGAATAGGCAAAAATAAATTCCCTTGCTGTGCAGGCTTTGCTCTGCAAACCCTTCAGTACCAGGGTGTTCACAGCAGGACCAGCTACCAGTGTGGAATCCCCATCCCTGGTGCACAAGCCCTGCTGAGAGACCATCCTGTGAGCAGAAAGGGGTTGTCTGTGCTCTCAGCTGGTTGTTTAAGCAAATCTGGTGCCTTTCTGCTGTTTTTCTCACTGAGTGATGCACAGTGAAGAATGCTCTTGGCTCATTGTGCCATGGGGCCTCGGGGCACGTCCCCTTACCAGGAGCAGAGGGGCAGAGATGGGGAGGTGCAAACCACCTCTGAAGGTCTTTCCTGATGCTCCTACCAGCAAAGCCAGCACGGAGCATGCCAGGCCTTGGGGCAGCTGCTGGGGTGGCAGGTGCCCACCAGCTCTCAGAGCTGCCCCCAGCCCATGCAGCAAGAGAGATGCTGTGAGGCCGGGGCAGAGGTGCTGGTGGGGGGCAGATGGGGAGGTCGTGAGGAGCATGGGGGGTCTTCCTCCAGCACTGAAGGTGCTCCCATTATAATTAGCTTTTGCAAGGCATCATTCAAGCTCCTTAGATACCCTGTGTCTGAACAAAATCATTTCCTGTTTGACTTTGTAAATCAAAGTAGACGATACAATAATTATTAATAATATGTTGACTTATCTCATCAGCGTTTTAATTAGGCAGTAGAAAAGCAATTTGCAAAGGGGCCCATCAGGCTCCCTCTGATCCAGCAGGTCACGTGCCAAGCAAGGAGAGGGGAGAGAAGGGCACTGGGGCACTGGGGCATTTTACTGGGGAGAGCTGGGAAACCAGAGGCACAGAAGGAGAAGGGGCAGCCTCTTTGACGGCACTGATAAGAGTTTAATTTTCAATGCAGAGGGAATTGTTCTGGGGATGGAGTGAGCTACAAAGCTCCTGGGAGCCCTTTGAAGTTATAATTGAGAGGAGCCGCAGCCTGTGGGACAAGGATGCTCCTGGTGACCCTTCTGCTTCCTGCACGTGTCTCCCGGGTGGAGGTGAGGGGGGGATGCAATTAAACCCCTGAGCGGCAATTACAGCCAATTACCCCTCAGTTAATTGTCTGGCAAGAGGAAATGTCAAAACAGGCCACACATGCCTCCCTGATGGCTTGACACTTCCCAGGGACCTACGGTGCTGCTGACCCCCACTGTGCCCATTGCTCCCAGCCCCCTGCTCTCCTGCTCTTGCTGGCCACAGCAAATCCAGAGAGGAAAAAAACCTTCCTGTGAAGCAAGTTCACCTTGTCCACAGATGTGACAAAAGTATCAGGACTTGGCAAAGTGGTACCCTTCCAGTTTTGTACTGGTGATGCTTTGGACTGTTGCCCTGGCTGTGCAGGCAGCTCTGGGATCTCCCAGTCCAGAAGAGGAAACCTCTGAGACTGCACCTTTCCTCTGGCAACCCCAGAAACCCCAGCGAGGGGGCACAGGACCTGCAGGTGCTGGAAAAGCAAGCCATAGGGCACTAGGAACTAAGCTAGCAGGCACAAGTCCCCTTCTTAAGCTCCTCAGGATGAGAACTGGGGTTTTGTGCTGTTTAATGCCATGCAAGGACCCAGCCAGAGCTACCTACCTCCCCACCACCACCCCTGAGGTGGCCCTGGGCTCATGCAGGGCAGGGGAGTTCAGATGTGGGTGAAACAAAACCTGACAGGACTTCAGCTGGGAAGCCAGGGTCAGCAAGGCTGCCCCTTGGCAGGAGGATGCTGTGACAGACGTGTCACCCTCTGTCACCCAGCACAGCTCCAGCCATGGCTCAGGCAGGATGGCACCAGGGGTGGCACTGACACCTTTATTCCAGCAGGATTAGCTGAATTAATGTGGACCCAAGTTACCAAACCTGCAAGTCACTGGTCTTCCTTCACACCTGAATCTGAATCCTGCTGTAGGGGCTGTTCAGGAGGCACCTGCTTAGTGCCAAATCATTGACTCTGAGAACGAGTACCCTACAGCAGGTTCTCTGAGACACCAGCACCCTATCCCACCTCCTTTCCAGTGATGGCAACCAGACCCAAGTGCAAATTCACTACTCAGAAAGCATCTGGAGCTGAAGGACCAGCAAGAGTGTAAAGGATAATGCAATGAAATGGCCTGTGGAGGGAGAACTACAATCCAGATGAGTTTTCAGAGGAGCCATGAAATCATCCAGCTGGAAAAAGACAGGCAAAGTTGTTTGAGCAAGAACGTCATGTTCCGACGACCCATCATCCACCCTGAAGGTGTTCAAGACAGTTTTCACACAGCTGTGTGGTTGTCCTCTTGGCAACAAGGCCATGAGGTGGGCAAAAGCACAGGGCAAGTGAAGACTGGTGATACCCCACAACTTACCTAAGCCTTGTAGAAAGACACACCAGCACGTCCAAGGGTGACTTTGGCATTAGATATTATACAAGTCTTTGCTTTTCTTTCTTTTTTTTTTATCATCCCATATTAACTATTCATAATCAATTTCACTAATAAGGTGGAGACTTCAGACATTAGGGGTCAGCAGTTTCTGGGCTGCTGGTGAAGGGCTGCTGGGCATCTGCTGTAGTGTGAGTGAGCAGCACGTTGGTGGCACCCTGCGAGCCAGAACCAACACCCTGTGTCCCTGTGGTACAGTACACCTGGCAGCTCTCATGGGCTGGGACCCAGGACTCGTCCCCTGGCTTTCCAGATGTGCAATACAGGATGCTGCAGCTTTAGTGGTCATGGAAGTCCCTAATGTGGTGAGAAAGAGGCACCTGTAGGCTCAACCCTTTGTCCGCATTGGCAGCGCAAGGTCCTGCCCAGTAAAGCCCAGATGTCCCAGGACAGCCAGCTCAGGGGGATTCAGCTTCCTCCCAGTCCCATAGGTGATGTGATGGAACCTTGTCTGACACTTAGACATGGGCCTGGGGCTGTGGTCACAGAGGCTTCTGGAGAGCTGGACTCCTCGTGGAGGATGCAGAAGGAGAGACTCGGGCAGCCTGCGAGCAGTGGAGGGTCTGACTGAGGGCAGGAATTGCTTAGGATGAGGTGAAGGGCAGAGCAGTGGAGGTGGACAAAGGAAAAGAGCCCCCAGTCCCAGACGCAGCCCAGAAAGATCCTCCCTCCCTGGGGAGCAGAGGAAGCCCTGGCTCCTGACCCCTGAACGTGCATCGGGCCCCTCCAGGGTGCCAGGCTGGGGCAGAGGACAGGCTCAGGGTGACAGGACAGGGATCCACACGCCTGGGGGCAGCTCGTGCATGGTCATGAAGAGGACATCTGCCTCATCCAGACAATGGCCAAAAAAGGTCCAGTGGCTGGAAACCAAAGCCAGGAAAAGCCACGTAGCAATGGGTTTTTAACAGTGACTGTAACATCACTGCAGGACCCGGAGGATTTACCACTGTGGGCAATTTTGTGGTTAAGGATGTCTTTTTTCTAAAAGCTGGGCTTTTCTGAGGTGCAAGGGAATCGACAGGTCTGCAGGCCTGTATTTATGTTGAAGATCACATCCCATTAGCTCTGTGGTCCTTTCTGACCTTGTACCTCTGCATCTCCCACATTTCCAGGATAGTCATCATCGCAACCGCTAGCTGCTAAAATCAGAGCTGAGTTAATGATTCCATATATTTACATATATGATAATGTCTGCCACAAATCTGATCACTGTTATTATTATGAATTCATAGTCCTGATCACTCCTGCTCAAACAGCGCAGAGACTGAAAGTCTGGAACAACAGATCAATGAAAATGATTAGAGGCCTGGGAAGATTTCTGTAGGAGGCAGAATTGAAAAGATTAGGGCCGCTTAGTTCAGAGAGGGGATGAAAAAGAGTGGACATGAAAAACCAACACAGCAGCAAAAGCCCAGGGAGGCACCCCAATTTTGCACTCTTTGTGCCCCACTGTGCCTTGCAGTTGGTCCTGTGTGTATTTATGGGATTGTTTCTGTTCACTAAACGAATGAGCAGAATCCTTACAGCCGGGTCACCGCGGCCAGCGGAGATTTCCAGAAAGCTGCTGCAGCAGGAAAACCTGGACACGGAAATGCAAGGGAAGGGGGTGGGCAGAGAGGACCCGGCCAGTAGAGATGTGGGGCTCACACGGGGTCAGCACCCCCACATCCCTCCCAGGCACACCCCCGATGGGTACCACAGCGGGGGATGCTCCCCTGCCCCTCGTGCCCACTCCCCACAGTAAACCCCTCTGGTTACAGGCAGCTGAGAGCTTCCCAGTCATTTGGGGCTGTTCCTTCTGATGCTCCCCCTGTGCCGTGAGGAATGAGATGCTACTCAGCATGTGCCCATGGGGCAACTCAGCTCTTGAGTTCAGTGACAACCTCGTCCCTACCAAGGGACATGAGTTCAACAGTATTTCAAAAACAGTCCCATCCCACTAATAATCTTCCAGGCTGGCATTTACCCAACAGACATGGTATCTTTGCCCCATCAGCACTGACCAAGACACTGGCCTGGGACACAGACCTCCATCCACCCTGCCCACGGGAACCCAGGAAGACTTGTCCCACTAGTGTCCCCCTTGTGCCCACAGCCACTTCATACTCACCCCGTGTGAGGGATAAGTCATCCAGCCCCAGTCCCCCGGGATTGTTGATGTGTCTAGCAAGTTCACTGGAAAACACAGGAGCAAAATGCTGCATTAGAAAGGTTTCCCTTCATTCCTGAAGGATGAGGAACTAAGCAACCACAGATGATTCCTCCTCACACCCCCCTCACTTGATTGTCCCCTGAACCCATCAATCCATAGGGGTGCTGCAACGGACATTCCTGCCTGCAGCTGAGGCAGATACAGAGAGGAGGTGGCAACAAATGATGTTCCCCAGAGCAGTTTGTCTGGGGAAGAGTTCGGGTCAGGTTGTATCTGTCCTGGCCATGGGATGGAAAATGTGTGATTTTGGAGGAGAGAGGGCTGCAAACAGCAGGTGAGAGGGGATGCAGAGCAGCTCAGAAGGGATGCAGAGCAAGGAAGAGCAGGGGGAAACAGACTCCAAGCATCAGGTTGTCTACTCTGGTCCAACACCAGTGAAACCAGAGCATCATTCCTCTCTTGAACACTTCTCTGGAGGTTCTGCCAAGCCCTTTAGGCTCACACCCCTCCCAGCATCACTGGTTTGAAGTCTGCACTCCAGCAGCCAGTGCAATTACACACCATGGGCCCAGCCCCGACACAAAGTGCCCCCCCGTGGTCCTGGCTGACACCCCACTGGAGAGGCCAGACCATGGGGGACAGGCTGCATGGGGAGCCCCATCAAAGCCAATCCTTCAAAAGCCCTGCCACCACCAGGAGCCCAGCTTAATGAGGAGACATGGGCAAATCTGCAGGGAAAGGGAAGCAGTTTCTTGGGGGGAAGACTTTAAACACGCTCAGGAGCTTCCCACAGAGGTCCACACAGCACCAGCAGTGGGAAGAAGAGATGCCACAGCACTGGTGCGTTCACAGGGTGAGCTTCCCCAAGTGTCCTCTGCCCGTGAGCTCCACACCCAGACCCTGCAGCACCAGGCAGAGGAGAGCCTTGCTGCTGCTTGATAACCCCCAGCTTTCTCAGCACTTGGGGAAGGAGCCCAAGCCCCAGCTCCAGAGGGATGGAGGCTCAGGACAGGGTGCCAGCAAGGTGACATAACCTTGGGAGCGAGTGCTGTGGGCACTGACACCACTGTGCCCGTGCCTCATCACTCCTCACCAGCACCAGGGACCTCAGGGACCTCCAGTGTCCCCAGCCCTGCAGCCACCCAGTAAAGCCAAGCCCACCCCGAGTTCTGTGCCCATGCTGGCTGCTTTCCCTCACCCCCAGCAGCAGGGCTGGACCTTGAGGCAACCTGGGGCAGCGTCCTCGCCGCAGCACCGGGTCTCGGCCGCTCCCTGGGCGCTGGAGGGATGGTGGCCCTGGGGCAAGGTGCCAGCTTGTCACGGCAGGGACAGGGCACATGGGGACAGTGGCTCCAGCCCTGGCAGAAGCGGGGCGCAGCGTGGTGCTGGTCCCAGCAGCTGGAGGAACGGGTGCCACTTTCATTTACTATTACCAGGCAGGGAAGGAGGCGGGGGGGGGAGAGTGGAGCAGAGACGTGAGCTGGCTGTGAAACACCCGGACGTCATGCTCCTGACAGAGCAGATTAGGAGCTTTTGAGGCATTTATTAATGTTAGCAGAACAATTTGAAAGAATTTCCAGGGTTTCTTGTGTGACTCCATTGGCCCAACAGCAGGCCGAGCCCCTCCGCTCCCCGCACGGCGCTGCTCCCACTGCTAAAGAGGGCCCTTGCCCTCAGCACGGAGTAATTACCTCAGAGATCTCAAATCCATTTTTATTTGTTATTGTTAATCTGAAGATTTTCTGCCTATTTTCCCTGGGTAATTCACCCAGCGGGAGCCCGGGCTGGGGAGTTTCCCTGCTCGCAGTGCAGGAGCAGGGTCCCGGTGACCCCCAGCAGGCAGGCTGTGGGGAGGG